AGAGTCGAAGGTGTACTGAGCCATGGTGAAGTCGATGTAGGATGGAGCTCTGAGTGGGCATAGTGGGTGATTATCACTAGGACCCGGGCTGTGCGGCGCTGAGGACAGGTGGCATCTACGGACCCTTTAATAGGCAGCTGCCAAGCGCACTTCTGGACCCCTTGAACGCTTGCCCGCATCGGGGCCGAGCTAATTGTGCCCACTCCGACACACGCCCCCCTACGCTAGGAACTCAGCCATCAGCCGCGGGCCGTCCATCGTTTCACGACCCAAGTCAGGGGAGTGTGTTGCAGTCGTCTTACAGCTGCCCGGATTTCGTTCCTGTGTCGCTGTGCCGTCGCTACCAGTCTCAGAGGGCGGCGCCGCTCCTCCACGGCCTTCTGCCCCCTTCTGAAGCAGGCGTAAACGGCCTCATCCAACTCCGACGTGCAGTCGCGGCGTAGCACAAGCTGATATTAGCCTTCTCACCGACCCACCTGTATCACTCGCTGCACCTCAGTGGCGACACGAAACAAGTTCAATGTAGCATGTCGTAAGATGCCGTCAGCCAAACCCAATACGCCTTTACGCCGCGCTGCATCCATCTCCCTCCGCACCGTCTTCACAGTCACGCACACCCCACAAATTATTGCGTGCAATATGCTCGTATACTTCACCCACGGCACGTGTAGATGAAGGCCCGAAGCCATTCCTTCTCGAAGCACCTGCACCCCATAGTTGCAATCTATTTGGCCGCGTCGCTAAGCATTCCACCCATACATCTTCATATCCCCACACAACCTTGCAATCTACAACCACCTTCCATAGTGCGACCTACTGCCGGAAGATTTGCGCAACCTGGGGTAAACTTCCTTTGTTCGTGGAAGCACCGGGAATGTGCATAGAAGCTTAGCCTTAGCTTCTTTTATTTATTGCTGATGCAAACTGAAGCGTCACACGAGGCCCTTGGTTTCCGGCTTTATTCAAGCAACGCATCCCTGGTGGGTTTCTGGCTGTTTCCATTCGGACTTCACGAACATGTGAGACGGAGGATCTCCGGTAGTAAGAAATGACAAGCCGGTGGTTCGTTAAGCCGCACTCATCATCATGCGGCACCGAAATTACTTTTGCCTTATCGTCGTCTGGTCGTCCCATCGTCCGTTGCCACTACGCAATGGACTGAATGCGCAGGATTTGGAGAACAGGATTCCAGTCTCGAATAAAGACGGGTTGCGTAATACTAGGCTAGCGTCTCGAGCGTGCTTTGTCGTGGACATCGTGCGCTGCTCCACAGGCCGACTCGTCACCGTTTCAGGCACCAGAATTCGGACCTATCGCATCGGAACCGCTTCCAATCCAACGGTCCAGATCTTACTCGTCGCGTTCTTGACTCAGTACATGGGATCTACCTCAGTAATACTACCGCCTACACGGCATGCTCCAATGAGCTGTACAGGACTACGTGCGGCTCTGATTAGTATTCCCATGGGGCAAATGGCTCCTGTTCATCGTGAGAAATCATAAGGATGTCGGCTGACCTTCATGAAGCCAATACGGCACGATCCGAGAGACGAAAAGGGGAGCATGCTCACGACGACCGCGATCATTGCCCCCTGGGTAGCTGTCTCAGTACCAGATCATCACAGCAATAATACTGCCGCCTACGCGTCCTCGTTCGATGCGGGCCACGCAATGGCGACAACCAAGAAGCTTGTGGACGAACCGGCTCTCGTGTATATCGAATCTGGTAAACCAAAGCAAAGCTGATCTAGGCGCCGACCTCGTCAACGAGACCATTGCTGCCACGCACACAGTGCCAGCAATTATGCTAGGCATCATTAAAGAAGTCTCGTCGTCATGCGTACGTTTTCAGGCCGTAGCATACAACGAGCAATCAGTATAACCACAAACGTCATTTCGATAGTCTTTGTCATAACCATTGTCATGTGTGCATGTGTTTCATATGCAATGTGTATTCTTGAGATTCTGAGCATTGATGCCTAGATCACTTCGATAAGCGTCTGTATGCCCGCATAGTCGCAAAGCAAGCAGCGTTAGACTGCTGCCTATCCCAGCTCGGCCATCGAGAAATGATTCAGATGACTAGTCACCCAGCGACATGCCCGGAATACTCATGAAGTAAACAAGAGCCACCTAGGGCAATCGAGCGACTCAGCATGAAGGATAAGATAATGCTCGGAGATTGCAGGTCCAGCTTACACACACACGATCAAAGAGTGACCGTGCTATCATTTCCTCAAATTTGCATACACAAAGCCAGTCAAGTATCGACCTCAGAAAACGGGACACGTTGTGTGCAAAGGCGGTCACTCGCTGTCGCATGACATCCAAAAGGCATATACGACCAGGCTGTGAACAAGCAGATAGTGGTATCTCGGCATTTCTCTATCAAGGAGCACCTGTCACTCCATCTATGGTCACCGTAGACCTCTAACATGAACGTAGCACACCAATCGAACACCGACATGATTAACAATGAATCGAGATGCGCCGAAGGTAAAAAGACTGATAACCATGACCGATGAGATTGTTGCTGTCAAGAGGAAGCATATACTGAGGTGTATCGAGTCGTACCCCCAGCCTCAGGTATGGCAACTATTTTTACATCGTTCGCAACCTCGCCCCGTCCTGGAAGCAGCAGTGGTATCTAAAGAAATTATGTGAGCACAACAGTTTTAAGACATCAATGTAGTTTGAATGCCTCAAACCGGAACGCCCACGAAACCAATCTTCGGTTTCACTCTCGCACCGTCAGTGCTCTCTCCGCCCCATTGGCTGCGCCACTCTTGTTCTTCAGCCTTGATCTGCTCAAACGCTTGTAGTTCTTCGGGCTTCATGTTCGACTTGTCCTCGTCGTCCAGGGTCGGTAGACCGTTGGTACCGACGTCAACGAAGTCACCGTCGGGCCCAGGTATGCCCAGGCCGGCGAAGGGAGGTTGTTGGAAGACCGAGTCGACCACGAGATACTTGCGACGAACGAGTGGAGGTACGTCGGTCTCTTCCGCAGGAACCTCCTCCCAACGTGCATGGGTGGGTTGTGTGACCTTGGGATAACACATCAGGTTGGTATGTGGGTCGTATACGCCCGTGAGATTTGCTTTCCGTAGCTTGGAGAGGTTCGAGTTGAATCGACTAGGGTATGTTAGTCCTGGTAGTCATAGATAGGTGTATAAGTTATGCATACCTTGCAGCGCGACCATGCTCAAATTGCCAGTTGGCAGAGGTGATGTTGACCTTCCGTTTTCCAGGGGCAGGCTTGCCATTTGCAGTAGGTACACTGGGCACACCAGTGTGATAGACACTACTGGCACCATGCCAAGCGACGTATTGGTTCTTGTTGTATGGCTCTCCTGGAGGTGGAAGCCTGTCGTTGGGGTCTGCAAGTTCACCTTCTACTGCGCCGCTTTCCTTTGCTGCTGTAACGTAGTAATCGTCAATGACCCTCTTGCCGCCGATGATGATGCGCGCGCCAAACTCGCGGAAGACAGATCGTGCTGTGACGACACCGATGGCACGACCTTTGTAGGAATGAGGGATGATGTCGCGGTCGATCAGGTCCCTTTTCTCAGCGTCGTCGATGATGATCTTGTAGAGCTTCATGTGCTTGGTGAAGAACAGATAACTGTCCCTAAACCCACAGCATCGAGCCGGTTCAGTCGACAACATGTACTGTCTGTCGCCCCTGCCCTTGATGGTGAATATGCGCACGCGGTAGTCTCGTCCACCCATGAGGTTACCCAGCTTGTCGACCTTCTGCTCGCCCTCTTCATCTTCTGGTAGGTCAACCTCATCGTTGACTACGTCCATCATGTTGCCCTCTTTGTCTATAGGAACGCGCGTGGTATGCGACGGCCCTCCCTTTGGAGGCCTTCCTCGACCTCCACCAGACGGCCGTCCCCGCTTGCGCTTGACGGGTGTGCCGCCTTCGGAGTTGTCGGGCTCGATGACATTCCAGTCCGGCGGCCTGTTCTTAGGAGGGCGACCAAGACGCTTCTTGCGCGGAAACGGCTGGATAACTGCTGGAGAAGGTGAACGCTCAGAGGGTGCGGCTTCCTCGTCGCTTCCCTGAGCTGCTGATTCAGCATCCTCTTCCTCTTCCTTGGGTGTGTCGGCGCGCGATTCTGGTGCATCTATCATATCCTCGTCGCTGTCTTGCTGGGGTGTTGCGCTGCGAACAGGCGTGCTGCGACGCGCTGCAGCTCGCGATGGGCGGCCGCGCGCCATTGTGGCTGGTCGAAAACGGCGTTGATGTGGCGCAGGTCAAGCTAGCAGCAGTTGTCGCGATGTGTTTGCAACTACAACTTCGGGATTCGGATGCAAATTTGGTGAAGGGCGGTGTCGGTGGTTAGCGATGCTCTTGCACTCCAGGAATGCTAAGGACCGCGACGTGAAAGAGCTAAGCAAGGGTCCCGCGCACGGCCCACAGTCATCACGTGCAAGCTCAAGCCAGGCGTTTTCGTCAACGTCTTCCCCAGACTAAACGTACATTCTCCAATACCTCACAAGTGGCCATCGTTGATCAAGCAATCATACCCACTGCAGTAAACGATGTCAATACCTGTCATGTCCAAGCAACGGCACGACCTCGGGAAGCCCCAAGCATACCGCATCTCCACCTAGGTATTACGGGAATCATGAGAAACGAGCTCGTTGAACAGGTCTCTTCAACATCATACCAGCGAACATGATACCTGGAGTTATTTCTCCTAGAACAAACGGGTTCAGAGTATTCTATGAGCGCGTTGTCTGCATCCGCTCGATCTGTAGAGGGGTTGATCCTGCCAAAACCACCATACGCTCTTGGAACTTGCCACCTTGAAGTACACAGAGTCAACCCGGCAGGACCAGACGTGTATATCAACAAACATGGATCAGATGTCAAGAGCGCCGACTCCAACAGCTCCCACACACTCGTGGCCTCATCCGTTCGACTAACCCCGTAGCCTCAACCACACTGCCGAACCTACAGTGCAGGACTGGGATAGTGACGAACAGCCACCATGCCTTTTGATCGCATCATCAGTGCCAAGAGGAGCTTTACCGGTATCTTCTCTCGAATGAGTATAGCTCCGTGAGTCGGAGATGTTCCTATCTCTGCTTTGCTATGCTGACATTGTCAAGTCCCTCGCCACCCTGCTCCGCTAAGCACAACGAGAACAATGCACCAAGCTGTGAGACTCCAGGACCGTCCTCGCCTGTCGCGAGCTCAACTATACCTGATTCTAGCGACGAATCGCCTATCAGAGAGAGTCCATCAATGCGCAAAGGTCTAATGGGCTCGTTGCGAAAGCAAAAGCTGCGGAGCATCGGCTCTTTACGCAGCTTGCGCTCACCTACCAAGACCAAGCAGTCTGATATATCAGAGTGCCTCATGGATAGTGTAAGTATCTTTCCCTACAACAGAGAAACGACCACTGACTCTCTGTCTTCTAGAGTCCGCTGACCCCGAAGCACCGCCTCAACTCATCGCTTTTACTCTACTTCGAGGAGTCTCCCCCAGACAGACCAATATTCGATCTTGACCGCATGGACCCCCGAACCTCGAGTCTCTATGTCCACCATTCCTCGCCGGTACCGGTCCCACCATCCTATGAACAGATCCCGCAATCGCCTGCGGATTCATCGCTCATACCAGATGGAACTGTTCCACTATCACCAGCACCTATCCAGAAGATTCTGGACTCAGAAAAGACCATGATTCATTCGCCACCAGCATACACCCAAGCGTACGAACCAAGTTTGGAAGCGATGAGAAAACCAGCTTCAACAAAAAGCGCTCTGTCTGACAGTCTTCGGGAAGCTGCAGTCTACTTCAATGAGCCCCTCGTTCGCTTTCCAAACCCAGGATCCGACTATCTGCCTATCGACGATTGCTTTTCACTTCCTGCTAAGAGCGAAGACTTAGGTCAGACATCAGCCCGAGAGGATCCGTCTGGGGTAGATCGTATCGATAACTCGCCAGTCTACAACAACCCGGATAAGCCATCAGAGGATGCGACCACCAAGGTCTCCAATGAAACGAATACAGACAGGACACCAAAGGAGCATGCACAGCTTATCCTTGAGAATGGCTACCAGGCAAGCGTCTACCGTCGAGCAGACGGAGAGTGTCGCATGAAAATCAAGCTGCTTGCCTTTTGCAATGAAGATGACGACGACGACAGTGGATGGAACAATGAAACGCCAATCAGGTATGCTGCCGCAGAAGAAGAGAAGCTGGCATCACAATTGAGCGCTATTATTCGGGATGCGGGGCTTACCTCTGTGTCTGACAGCGAGCTCAATGAGGCGTTTGCTACTGGAAAACTTCCAGCATATCTGGATGTTGACCCAAGTTGGCACGTCGCCGAGGAAGTGAAGATGGGAAAGCGTGATAGTTCCTGGGGCGAGCATACTGGGCTCTACGACGGTAGCGGCTATGGATCAAGATCCAGCTCCCGACCTGTGACTGGTGTGACTGAGACGGCCGACGTACCTCGTACACGTATCCCTGGAGCATTCGTCGACCACGAAAACGAAGCGCCTATGATCATCCGCAGGCTGTGGGACAATACCTATCCGCACAGCCCGGATACGGACTCGCCTGTGAAGGCTATCGTGGCTGATCCCGCAATCTCCGCAGCGCAAGAGCAGCACAACAACCCCTTGCAAGACTACGAAGCCTTCCAGGGCATGTTGGATCTTGGTGGCAGTGCATAGATCATCGGGTACGCACTTCGTTATGCAGGGTCGTTTAAATTCGCTGGGTCGGGTCGGGCCCTGAAAAGTGTGACAGTGACCGATCAGGAACGGTACATCCGGCATCCTTCCCAGCAAACAGTATTCCATCGATAGAGTCTCCATAGTTATCAATGCAGCCCACAAGTTTCTTCCACATACGCGTCTTCCAGCTCATCCCACACATGCGCAGCGGGGCGTTCGCGTGCCCCAACTCTCATGATGGCACCACTGTACCCAATAGCCGTACCTGTAATCAAAGTTCCAGTCCGCAGATCATCCGAGTGTTGCATCAGTTAGTCCAACCAACGGTAATCGAAAGCAGCGAAGATCCGGGCTCCAGAGGGTGTAGGAGGGAAATCAGGCCATGTCGGCTCATGCGACTTACCCGAGTCTGGGACGGTGACTGGGGTGTGCAGTGGAGTTAGCGAAGATGTGCGGAACAGCTCGTACGATGTTTAGTATTTTGGGTGGGCAGCAACATGATCTAACACATGATGATTATGCTGTGATGTGAGACGCCGCTGGTGTGCCGGCCTTGCGCGAGAGTACTTGCTGGCGTGCTTAAAGGCGTGGTGGCGGGCGGCTTCGAGGCTGTTGCCGTGTCCCTCGGTTTGCCCCGCGTGAAGTTCAGAATGCCAGGCCAAATCCATGCTTCTTGTGGGGAGAACGCCAACGACGTCGCTATCCTTGGCTGCGGCATCATCGGCTTGTGTACCGCGTACTATCTCACAGAAAGTGGAAATACAGACCCAAAGAGTATTCATCTGGTTGATTCGAGTCCGAAGTTATTCCATTGCGCGTCTGGCCTTGCTGCGGGCTTCTTGAGTGCCGACTGTACGTTTGGCAGCGTACGACGCGTGCAACATCAGCGCGGCGCGTCGTTCAACACCTGATCACTTTGTCTAACTACGAAGTAGGGTTCGCACCATCTGTAGCTTCCCTCGGCGCGTTATCCTTCAAACTTCACGCCGACCTCGCGAACGCGCATTCCGGACGTACAACATGGGGATACTCGCAGTCCACCGGAATCTCCCTTTCACAAGACAGCGAATCGGCCATTGGCGGTAGCGGCGAAGACTGGCTTGAGAATGGAACGAGTCGAGCACAATTAGCGAATCACAATAAGCCTTGGGAAGAACAGGCTGCCGGACCAGAATGGCTTCGGCGTACACAGGAAGGCATCATGGAGGTTATAAGTAGGGATGGGACGACCGCACAAATCGATCCGTTGAGATTCTGCCAGTGGCTTCTGAAAGAAGTTCAGAGAAGGGGGGTCACGATACATCAGCCTGCGACGGCGACAGCCATCATCAAGGACTCAGAAGACGTGTTGCGCGGTGTGAGGATATCAGAGGGTGATGACACACAGTCGGAGACAGAGTGTAAGGCCCAATCCATACCACCCAAATTCACACTTACTAACCAACTACAACAGTACCATGTAGCCGTCTCGTCATAACCTCTGGTGCGTGGTCTCCACGCGTCTTCAGCACCCTCTTCCCATCCTCGAAAGCGCGCATCCCCGTCTCCTCCTTAGCTGGCCACTCGCTGCTCGTTCGAAACCCACACCACAAATCCGAAGAGCTCGACAAGGAAGTCTGCCACGCAGTCTTCGCGACAGATACACTCGGCTTCTCGCCAGAATGGTTTGCGAGATTAGGTGGAGAGCTGTATCTAGCAGGACTCAATAGCACAAATATACCTCTGCCAGAGGTTGCAACAGACGTTCAAGCTAGTGCGAAGGCTATCGAGCAGTTGAAACAGTGTGCGAAGGCTATGATGGTGAACGTCCCAGGCAGAGACATGGAGATTTTGAGGGAAGGCTTGGTAAGTTGAGACTGAGAGTGGAATGTTGAACTGGTTTGCTAATCCCAGGCAGTGCTTCCGTCCAGTCACATCTAGCGGCCGACCCATCGTATCGCGGATACCGGACGAAAAGCTCGGAGGCATCAGGACGAAAGATGAAAGAACTGGCGGTGTTTATATAGCGGCGGGTCATGGTGCCTGGGGCATATCGCATGCGCCTGGTACTGGACTTGTGCTGTCGGAGCTGATAGAAGGGCGGGAAGCAAGCGCGAATATTGAGGCGTTGCAATTACCAACGTAAAGTGCTCTTACTCAAACAAAATGTGTATTGGGTACTCATCAACTGGTCATATCGAAACAAACGTGCTGGCCCTGTGACGAGTATGGAATCGGGCTTCTTGTCTCTGACGTAATCCAGTGCACGATATCCTTGGAGTTAGCGCAGGACTGCGCCGCACGTTCGCACGATGACTCCGCAGTTGGTCTTATCGAATCGTCACACAATGCTACTATAGCAATTCCAAGCAAAAATAATGTCTACGAATCCCGCCGACGAGGTGGCCGCAAGGAAACGAGCTGAGCGTGAGAAGAACCCCATCCATATCGAACAACTGGACGCAAGCGTGTTGGCTGGTACGTTTCTAGTCAAACAACTACTTCGACTTCCTTGCAGCTAAAGACCATACGCAGCACTACCAAAGGATGTGAAGATACTATCAATCAGACAGTCCGGTGAAAGCGCGTGGTGTGAGAGTTTCCGCATCGATGCAAACCTACAAGATGGCTCGGAAAGGCAGTACTTCGTCAAGGTAGGTTGTGTGTCTTGTCACACGAAAGATCCCATCTAATGGAAGCGCAGACCAAGATCGGTGAACTAGGAAAGCGGATGATGGAAGGTACATACGAATCAGAGCTGCTGTATCACAGTTACTGCCCCGAACATGTTCCAACACCAATTGCCTGGGGAGCCTATAAAGACCACCCGGACACATGGTTCTACATCTGCGACTTCCACGACATGGCGATGGAGAAACTGGATCCAAGTGCCTTTGTCGACATCATTACTGGGGTGCACAGAGCAAGTATGGGAAAATCACCGCTCGGCAAATACGGATTCCACATTCCAACCCACCTTGCTCACGTACCGAACGACAACACATGGGAAGATTCGTGGGAAGTCTGGTATAATAGAGCCATGCAGACCATGTATGATCTAGAGAAGAACAAATATGGGATAGACGAAGAGTTAGAAGTCATCTTCGAAGGTCTCCGTTCAAAAGTCATACCTAGATTGCTCCGTCCTCTGGAAACCGGCGGTCGCTCGATTGAACCATGCCTCTTGCATTCGGATCTATGGCCTGGAAACTGTATGCTGGAGAAAGAGACTGGTAAGATCATTATCTTTGACTCATGTGCTTTCTGGGGTCATAACGAGTGTGACTTGGGTAGCTGGCGTGCTCCGCGGTACAATATGGGTGAGGAGTTCTTTACGTGCTACAAGAATATCGTGAAGCCCTCGCAACCAGAGGAAGATTGGCACGATCGCAACAGACTTTACGCCATGTTAGTACATTCCCATGGAGGGAGGTGTTTTTGCTCACTAGGATAGTCGCTATGATCTCTTGGTCTCTGCGCTTTATCCTAACAGGCCCGAGTTTCACGATAGGTATGTGTAGGAATATTTGAGTCTGCTATCGGGCTGACCGGTGCCAGAGCCAAGGATGAGATGAGAATACTCGTTAAGAAGTTCCCTGGCGGCTTCAAAGACTGGGAAGCCCGACAAGTGTCTTCACCACGCGACCTGTAGAGGTCAAATGCGATCTCGTCAATGGTTGGCTTAAGTCCGTTCGTTTGCACTTTTCACCATGACTGCTTACCCCGCGTTTGATGTGTTCGAAGCGACTGTGCCGCAAGACTAGACTGCAGAGACGTCAAAGCGTGTCTTATGAGTCGGGTGCCGCCCTTCTCTGTCGTACCCTGTCTGAGGCATTCAGCTCTAAATGACACGGCTTCCCGATCAGAATGGCCAAGAACGAAAGTAACGGAGCCGCGGAAGAAGAAGGGGTTGTGAATGCGCTCGCAGACCAAGGAAAAGAGGGCGCAAATGACGAGGATACTACATACACCACGTTCACTCCCACTCAAAAGCGACTATTACTAGGTGCCTGCTCTACAGCAGCGGTATTCTCAACAATCTCTTCGTTCATCTACTTCCCCGCAATCACAGCCATTGCGAACTCATTGCGCGTTTCCATCGAACAGGTCAACTGGTCTATCACTTCGTACTTGATAGTATCGGGAATCGCACTCTCGGTCTTCGGCAGTCTGGCTGACGACATCGGTAGACGACCCGTAATTCTTTTGACTATCTGCATCTACGTTGGGGCAAACATAGGACTGGCCCTTACGCAGCACTACGCGACTCTCATAGTGATGAGATGCCTGCAAAGTGCTGGCGCTTCAAGTACCATCGCGATCGCATTCGGTATCATCACAGACATCTCGATACCTGCAGAAAGAGGATCCTACGTGGGCGTATTGATGGGTGCTACGAATGCTGCGCCATGCTTGGGGCCTGTCATTGGTGGAGTGGTTTCAGAAAAGTTGTCGTGGAATTGGATCTTCTGGCTCTTGGTCATCGTTGCCGGAACTTTGCTGGTGACACTTGCGCTGTTCCTTCCGGAGACCGAAAGATGCCTTGTAGGAAACGGGAGTCTTCAACCAGCGCGCCTCATGAACAGATCCATATATTCGCTTGTATCTCGGCGTGAGACCAGGTCTCCGGCAGCTGCATCTTCTCGAAGTCGTGGCTCCGCCTTTCTAGGACCTTTCAAATCACTGTCAGCTCTCAGGAACCAAGCCAACTTCATCGTTATCTTAGCCGGCGGTATCACTTACACTATGTATACGTGTCTCGCGGCTTCCATCTCAGCGGCAGTCATCGCAGAGTATGAGATGAATTACCTTACGGCGGGATTGACCTACCTTCCAAACGGCATTGGCGGTATCCTCTCGTCGTATGCGTCCGGCAAACTCCTCGATCACGACTACAAAGTCACTGCGCGCAGACTAGGCCTCCCAGTAACGTCTCCATCGGGCAACGACTTCCCCTTCGCAAAAGCCAGGCTGCGATCAGTTTTTCCGGTCGTAATCGTCAGTGCAGTGGCTACCAT